TATATACCTTTTTTCTTCTTTGTTTTTTCTTTTAAATATATATTTCATTTGAGAAAAACACAAAAAAAAACAGCTACTACTTAAAAGAAAAAAATTCCTCAAGGTGCAAACAGGCTGTGAATATTCATTAATAATATAGTTCACTTTTTAACATCAGTGATGAACATAGAACAAAAACAATCTAAAAAAACTCAATTTAATACTTTTTTGCATAATAAAAAGGAGTCTTGTAAATGTTTCTATCCAACCAGGATACTCAAGGCACTTTACATTATAATCTGTGCCCACATTAATCCATTCACAGCACTCTATGTCTCTACAAAGCTAATCTACATACTGCGGTCATTCTATAGAGACTAGCCAGCGCCTCCTCTTGATGTCTTCATGATGATCCTCGCTCTGTGCAGGGTCTATGGCTGCATGACCTGGGGGCACCTGTTCTCCTCTGAATGGGTGTTCTGAACTGTAATTTCATTGTGCTCTATATGACAATAAAGGCTTTTATTCAATTCATACACTGATGGGACACACATCAAAMGCAGTGGAGGTGCAGTGTCTTGCCACTTTATGTGAACTGAACAGTTAGGGAATCAAACCGCCAACTCTCACATCTCCCTGCTGGCTTTAGGATAGATTTTAAGATTTTACTGCTGACTTTTAGAGTTCTAAAGGTCTGGCCCCATCATGTGATCTCCTTAACTTCCACAGTCCAGTTACAGAACTTCAGTTTAACCAGTTTCTCCCAAATGTTCCTCGATCTAGGCTAAAAATCAGAGGCAACTGGACTTTTGCAGTTTCTGCCCCAAACCTGTGAAATGGTTTACCTTTTTATATTTGAACTGCTGAGACCGTCAAGACTTTTAAATCTGTGTTTAAGATCTGCTCCTTTGGCTTCAGTGGTGGACACAGTTCCCCTAAAGCACTATTAGGGGAACTAGTGCCACTTAGTGTAGTGTCGGTATGGTTCCAAGCCATTTCCATTAGGCCAGATCCATGGAACTGGCACTTTTTTTTTAGTACCTACTTCATTGTGGTTCCAACCGGCCCCAGCTGACACCAAAATGCGACGTCAGAACACTGTTCGTCACTGATTGGCTAATTTTTTGCAAATGTTTAAAATTTCAAAAGTTATTCATCAAATGTGTTTCCGTCTCATTTTGCCCATTAATTTTTTTTCTAAATACCTAAAAACCACCTCCACCAACCGCCCAAAACACACCCATTGGAACCGGACTGGAACATCAGTGGAAAACCAACCGGTCCGACCCGTACCTACACCGACCGTTCCGACACTACACTAAGTGGCACTAGTGGAAAGGGGGCATAATTTCCTAATTAGTGCTTTAGGGCTTTTGCTACTTTTTAAATTTATGGGCTAAATTGAGAAGCCCTTRCTGAAGTCTTTAAATGTTATTGATCATCATTATTTTTACCAGCTGAGAGTGAAAGCTGYCATACATTTTGTTCAYATGCGTCACCTCTCCACCAGGTGACATATGACATTGCTGACATTTACTGATAATAATTTATCAGTAAACACTGTTTCATGTTGACTCTGAAGAATGTTCCATGGGTCAGCTGGGTTATATTACTGCTTTAGAATTAGCTTTTGCTAATTTTATCATTGTGTTAGTGCTTTACAATAAGGGGACCTAAATATTTGAATTRGTGCTTYAGGGTTAGTGCAACTAATTTTTAGATTAGTGCTGCCCACCACTGCTTGGCTTTTGATTCCAGTTTGTAGTAAGTGAAGTAGAGGTTCAAAATGTTAGCGTTAATTTTTGCTTAATTTTTTCTCTGCTTTTGTTCGCCTTCGTTCGACCTTCAGCAGTGAAACACATCTTGAGAAAAATCTAGAAAAACAAAAGGCAGGACCACTCAGCTGTTTGGTTCACTGATTTTTTTTCTTCCGTCAGAGTCTCAGATTACTCTGCTTCCGCTTCAAAAAGCAATCTTTTTTCCCCCTCATGAGGTCTACAAAATACAACAGAAAACCCCAATGAAAGATTACAATTTGCAGGGTTTTCAGCTGCAATCAGTACAAAAATCCTCTAAGGCCATGAGAGTATAAGAGCGAGCTGCTACTAGCTGATGATAATGGCCTTGAGTCTGTTAAATATCTCTCCATCACAGATCTGTAAGAGAGAGAAAAAATTAAATCCCCTGATATCCCCAAGTCAGGAAATACAATAAATGAAAAAGTGGATGCATTAAAGAAATTATATGAAGGGGGAAAAACAAGAGAAATAGGAATAATTCATTAAAAAAACCAGCTGAGCAGTATTTTATATTCATGTATTTTTTATACTTGATATATCTTCACCAGGGTCACTCATGCACAGTGATCAGGAAYATCACTCTCATGATCCAGTTTCCTTTCACAACAGCTCTTGGGCTCTGAAGATGTCGAGGACAGCGGATGAATAGTGTCTCGCTGAAACAATCCTAAAAACACTCCTTTAAATGGAGAAATCGACGGCCGTTTAATGAAACCAGAATGAGACTTAGTTGCAATAAATCAGCCTAACAAAACAGGTTTTTATTCCTTGAAGGAATGCATATCGCCCGCTACAACTCACACACACACACACACACAGGCAGTACATTAGCCAAGTGAGTAACAGCCCTCCCCCAGACGGTGGTCTCATCATGCTGCTGATGACAGTCGTATGGTTTCATATATTCAGCTCACACTTCTGTCAGTCAGTTAGAATTAATGACACCTCTGCTGAGTGTTTCAGACACACAATRAAGAAGAAAAACTTAAACTTCAAATTATCATTGGTTTGATGTCCTATTAGTGCAGTGTTTCTCAAAAATTGGGGATCTAAACAACCCAGTAACACATATCTTGTTTTTAATGAATCACTGGCAATAATAAAAAGTGATTTATAAACAATTTAAAATTGACTTTTAGTGGATTAAAATAAAAAGAATAAATGAGGAAAAATTACTTTATTATCATTAAGTCCTTTAACGTAATCTGATGGTCGTTTTCACCCCACCGTGAGGTCACCAAGCTCTCTTATTAGAGAGCCACTGTGCAAAATGGATAAATTCTCAAGAGTCCCAACAGGTGGCCCATTGGAAACGGACCGAGGCTGTGGATGTTTGCMGGATTGCAGCAGCAACAAGTCACAAAACGCACAGGAAAGGTCCGCGTTGGGTTGGTCAGTTTTTCTTWGGCTGGGCGGCGATGTAAAGAGCCACCAGGCAGTAAGCGACGCCTCCAATCGTGAGGGCCATGGTGGTGCGGTACAGTAGCCTGTCGGGGTATCCGCGCTTTAAATGAACRGGTCTGCCGTCTGGTGTCTGAGGAGGATGAAAAAAAACTATTATCCGACGCTGGAAATGGAATTATCCCCAAGACTCARAGACAAAGATCGATGGATAGTTACCTGGAAAAGCTTCTGGAGGTCCGGAACCCTGTTTCCTTCCATGTGCCGCACTGTGAACCCTTCTTCTGACAACACCTTGGGGGGTGTAGCAAAGATCATGGCAGGGGGCTCAGCAGGAACCCCTTTTTGTAGTCCCTGAATGAAAACACCATACTTGTTACTACGCAAAAATAGAAAATCTGATCAGACGCAAAAACGTGCAACATTTTTAAATGTTAAATCTACTAAACCTTCTAGAGTCTTCTGTTTGCTTAAAAACATCCTCAGTGAATAAAACCAGGAGTTTTTTCTCTCCCTTACAGACCGTATTTTTTATTATTTACCTCTTATATAACCTGCTCCACTTTGCTGCCCACCAGATCCAGCCTTGTGGGCATGAGACCTTGACAGAGCCCTCAACAAATACAAAAAGAGCTGAATGAAAAAAGTCTATAAAAAGAAAGAAAGGAAATAAAAAGGAGATGCGCTGCAAAAAATATGAGGATTTGAAGTAATCGGCCTACATCTTCAAGCGACAGAATCAAGGATTTAATGTTTCGATTTAGGTTTTTAAYTGAGATTGAGAACATTTTCTGTTGGGGTACATTTTCTGCGGTAAACATTATGTGCCATGTTTCTTCATATTGATCTTCTAAACACAAAAAAGCACAAAAAAGTCAATGGTTGTTTTGTGGATTCATAAATACTTGTGATGAGTGCTTCATTGATCGCAAGCTTTTGACTTGTGAGGCTGTTTAAGACAGAAAATTTAAAAAATAACCTGAGCAAAGTAGGGTTGGGCATTAATGGCAAAAAAAATTTATTACGATTAATTGTGGTATTTAGCCGATAACGATTAATTTGACGATTAATCCCCTGGAGTCCCTGGACATCCTTATGTCCTAGTCACATGTCCAATTTAGCGGGAAAGATTTGCTTTTTGGAAAAATCTGTTCCAAATTGTGTCAAAATTACAGACTTCAGGCTGTACATCAAATTTCAAATTGTGTTGATAGATAAATAAATTGCACAACTTTTTTTTTTAATGTTCGTCATATTTAAAGAGGAGAGGAGCATCAAGTGGACTGACTGGAGAAATATCCAGTCAGTCTACCTGGTGGCATTAATCGTATTAATCGTCAAGTGCCAAAAAAATAATCGATTAATGTTTTTCTGAAGATTAATTGCACACGATACGATTATGCCCAGCCCTAGAGCAAGACAACATTAAGGTGAATTTCTTGTTTGGAGCTGATTTTAAGCGACTTTTCAAAACCCTTAGTTATATACAGTTTTCTCTTGAANTCTGCCTTTCTGTCCTTGACACACATGCACAGTAGTGGTAACTGGGGTAGGCCGTGGACGTCACAAGACATTATACAGACAGGCTCTGGTATCATGGCTACCTGGCAATGGAGCTCAAAAGTGTGGGAACTTTTTAAGAAAATGGAAGAGAAACCTGTGCAATATCTGCAAGGCAGAACTAGCCTTCCACAGCAATTATTTTTAGTTAGCATATAGCTAAAATCTAACGATGGTTATACAATAGAAGCTGCATTCTGACGTGATAAGCTCTATGTTTTATATTCAATTAACATATGATCCAATAGTCGACTAATCGAATAAATAATCGGTGATTAATCTATTATTAAAATAATCGTTTGTGGCAGCCCTAGTGATGACTGATCGCAAGCTTTTGACTTGTGAGGCTGTTTATTACAGAAAATTAAAAAAATAACCTGAGCAAAGTAGGGTTGGGCAATATTGGCAAAAAAAATTAATTACGATTAATTGTGGTATTTAGCCGATAACGATTAATTTGACGATTAATCCCCTGGAGTCCCTGGACATCCTTTTGTCCTAGTCACATGACCAATTTAGTGGGAAAGATTTGCTTTTTGGAAAAATCTGTTCCAAATTGTGTCAAAATTACAGACTTCAGGCTGTACATCAAATTTTAAATTGTGTTGATAGATAAATAAATTATACAACTTTTTTTTTTAATGTTCGTCATATTTAAAGAGGAAAGGAGCATCAAGTGGACTGACTGGAGAAATATCCAGTCAGTCTACCTGGTGGCATTAATCGTATTAATCGTCAAGTGCCAAAAAAGAATCGATTAATGTTTTTCTGAAGATTAATTGCACACGATACGATTACGCCCAACCCTAGAGCAAGACAACATTAAGGTGAATTTCTTGTATGGAGCTGATTTTAAGCTACTTTTCAAAACCCTTAGTTATATACAGTTTTCTCTTGAATTAAAAAAGAAAATCTCAGCAAAAACCTATTTAGATTCTAACAAAATTAACCTAATGCAGATATTATTTGCTTAAAATCTAATCGAATATAAAGTTACACAAACAAATTTACTGTGTTTGACTTTATGTTTTTATTTTATTTTAGTTCCTGGGACAGTCACTACCTCGTTACAGCGTGTGGAGGCAGATGGTGTGGGTGTGTGGAAATCAAGTGTGCCACATAAAAACACAAGGGCACTGCAAACACATTTTTTAAACTTGCTTTTTGAAAATTWAAAAAAAAGTTTACAGCAGAAATCAAGATTTGTGGAATATAATAAAATATAAAAAATTAGTTCCTACTCATCTTATTAACGCACCAAAAAAATGTGACAAAAATGTGTTGATTTGTCTTTGATGGATTCAAACCAAACTGAAAAATGTCTAAAAGATTCAAAAATAAAAAAATATAGAATGTATTCAAGCTACAACTGAACCCCTATGAATATAAAAAACATAGAATAAAACATAATATAGAACTCCAAATAAAAACAAAAATAAAAAAAAACAGTGGCAACAGCTAAAGGGATTTCGCAACTAATTGGGTTAATTGCCAGCAGGTGAGTAAAAGAACTGGGTAAAAAAAAGAGCTGAATCTCTGAAATATAATGATGCCTCTGGCCATCTTCAAACAGTAATGAGTTATCAGATGGTGTTGCTGCTTTTTTGTTAGTCACAGAGAGAAAAAAACAGGTGCACCTTGTCAGTGCGATGGAAGAAAATTTTAAATAAYATTCTTAAAACAAATTGGGTCTGTGTGTGTCATGGTTGTGTGAAGAGCATTATAAACAGCACACACAAACATTTTGTTCACATGATTTGTGGGTGTAATATGTGGAAAATAAACTGGAGTGGGTTTACCCACGAGCTGTAAAATTATTAAATCAGTGTTTATCATGTTATCCTCACCATCTGCTGCGGTCTGATTACCAGCAGAGTGCTGTATTTACTGAATTATCCACCTGCTCTGTTAACCCAGGTTTCTGCCCAATTGCTGATATAGAACAAGTATGAAGCTGGCAAAGCTTAACTGAGCTGCATGAATATTCTATAKTTTAAACTTATTGGGCCTCATGCAAGAACATGTTCGTATTCTTATCCTAAATTTCTCTTACTGTTGTTCGTACGAACATGCTACATCAGATTCAACAAACTCTTCTATCTTCAGGAAAAGTGTGTAAATGAGCTGCATAAATTACACCTGTT